AGCTCCAATATTCTTGGGTGTAGCATCATCCTGAAGAATGGATAAGAATACCATGCTCGGATATTCAATCTGCGCCTACACCCATCTCTTTGGTTTGGATTGTATTGTTAATCAAACCTTATAACCAAATCATACACTCTTTATGCGTCTATTCTGTAGGTCTTTTATAGTGGTAAGCTGAGAGATTATATTGTTAAAAGAAAGCCGCGATTTTCTGGAGAAAAGCTATATCCATTAACCCCGCTCCTGCCATCTCAGTGTCTGTGAAGGAATTGAAATACAAAACACGAGTTCCAAACCAATACAATAACTACTATGATAGGAAGCCGGTTGGATTAATGCTACGCAAGAGAATTTCAAACGGAATCTATAGGGTACCAGTATCTAGACTGAAATACCTAGAAGAGTGATTAATGATATTTCCAAGATCCTACACTCATCGCAGTAACAGCGCAAATCACCCTCAACAAATATTTGCTGAAGCTAAGTGAGAACAATAATAAAGACCTCATGACAGCGTAGCGAGAGTACCAATCACAGAGAAAACAAATTAAGGACTATAAATATCTTTTAAGCTGTGTCATTGAAGCACAAGCCAAATACGATGAAAGAATTTTAGTAGAGGATCATTCCCGAGCCTGCAGATGCTGTAACCAACTCTAGGCCTTCTGTGTTCCCATGTCAAGTTTGGCTATAGAGCTAGAATACGGGAATTAAGTGTTTTGTACACCAACCACATATCACAACCAAGAGTATCGGATGTCATGCAGATAAGCGCCTCCGCTAGTGTGAAGGAAAGGGAGCTAAACTTCCTATCTTTGAGGGATATATGTCACCAAAAATACAGTATCGTATTGATAGAAAGATGCATTAATTGTCATGAAGTTGATTGAAAACTTCTTCCCACCCAATTCTGGGAAAATAAATAGGCTGAGAAGCAAAGGTGGCAATATTCAGGACAGAAGTCTAAATAAAAGCTTTAAATACTCGAAATACTGTGAATTTTTGAGGATGTAAATCTTATTATTGATTTCAATGAAATGGGTGGTTCAAGTGAATCCAATATATCAAACAAGTTCAATATAGCCAACCAATTCGATGTATTAAATAAATGATAGAATTCCAGGGTATCACTTTAAATAAAACTTATTGCCTAGCCACATGGTCATTCTGAGCAGTCGTACAGCAATAAGCGTTAAACTTCCTAGTGCAAACTGAATGGATATGGCATCATAAAGAGTGGAGGAAGATATGTCTGGAGTTCATGTAAGACGAAATAACAAGTTGGCAGCTTTATTAATAGCCATGCGTAGACCATTAGGTCATCTCCTAGCCCGTCATCCTCAATCCTCCATTGCACTGGGCCATTCCCTGTAAGACGCCTCCATCGATAACTTTATCATCCTGGAAGATCTAGCACTGGGTTTCGGCATATTCGGAGGCAGTAAGAATATATATCTCACCATGTATCTGTCAGCTTCATCTCGGAGGCGAACGACGATATTATCATCTTGCGAGCTGGCAACTTCAAGGCCTAGTAATACACCGTGCTCAAAAAGTGGATGACGAACAGCATGAAGTGCTTCACGAGCCCCAAGTTTGAAAGCATATCGCCATGACACGCTCGGCTTTCCTGCTGTCCAGATTTTATCTGTCATAAAACCATTTTGGAGGATGGAGTGGAGACAATTGATAGCGGTACCGTGCCATCGTACCGATGTTTGTCCACCGTGGCGACTGACAGCTGCATCAAAGCTCTCTCGAATTTGAGCTGGTGGATTGAGGACAGAAAATTGCCATATATCGTCCGAAAAACCAGAAACCTTCAGGAAGTCGGGAGTGGGACAGAAAACTTGCCCAAATTCCGATTGCATCCATTTTGTCAATCTGATAACTGGTTCAGGATGATCTTGCTGTAGATAAGATATCAATATATTAGATGTTAATGTTTTGAATTCGGGAAGACCTCGGAGAAACGGTTGTAATGCCTGGACGTCAGTGGTTGAGCAATTGTCGGATAGCTTGAGAAGTTGGCGGCGGTGGTCGAGTCGATGGTAAAACGACATGAAAAGTAGATAGAGCCCACGGTGGGCTATCTTGCAATTTGTGGCCATAGCCTTACCCCATTTTGTGACAAACTCTAGTTCCTCTCCGAGATCTGCCATATCCGAATATTCTTCCTCACATTTGTTAAAGGGTTTCTTAAAATCTTCGCCACTGCCCTCATTAGTTTCATTAGCAACCTTAGCTTCTTGATGCACTTCAGCCCCGGAAATTATTTTCTCTATCTCAACCGTTGTTCTATTCCACATAGGTCAGCAGCAGCTCCCATAAACTGTCCAGAAGTCGAACGACGAACACACATCTTCAAGATCAAATCTTTGATATAATCCACCCTTTCTCCTCCATGATTCAAGTCCATGCTCTTTAGTTCCTCCAATTTCGTTTTCACATTCATGCTCCACCAAGGAATAAGCTGGTCGATGAGTTTTTGATCAGCAGTACTTTCACTACCAGCAGTCTCAAGACCATACCGAGAATAGAGGGCTTGCAGTTCCGGCTTCTGAGTGTTTAGTTCGAAGAAAATATCATCATTTCGGCCGCCATGAAGAGGTGTATGAGCCGTGTCGGCGGTAGTATTCTCGAGTTTTACATGAGGAGGGGGAGGAGGATGTTTGATGCTTTGATGTTCATCCATGGTAGTTTCTCTGGGTTCCCTAGGCGCCAACTCGAGGAAGAAGTAAAAGTTATGTGTAGCATAGAAGTTAAGGCAAGGTAACCAGGATGTGATGCATGCATTTCGAGAAATGGTTCGTGGGGGGAGGGCATGAGATATAATGAATCAGTATGCTGCCTTAGGTTTTCATCGGATAGAGCATTTCGATAAAAATCCTTTCGTACGTAACCGTGGTATCAATAGGAGTGTTCAAGAGATGATAGGGTCAATCCAGAGTTTTCTTAAATTTTTCAGATTTGTAGCCTTCTCGTCATAGATTCCATCGTCTTTGAATTGCTTCATAGTAAGTATGGCATATAACAATACTCAAACTCATAGGGGCTTCAAGAATACTTCTAGGCATCCCCTAGTTTCTTCAAACTTAAAACAATATTCATTAATGGAAGGAGAAATTTCTAATATGAACCAAAAATACCTATCCAGTGCACATGCTACATGTTCCTGATGAACATGGATCGGGGGTATCCAATAGTCCGGACTGCAGTCCAACAATGGTCAATTTTTAATTTTTAATTTTTGGATTTGTTAAAAAGATTAGATTTATTTGAGATAATCAATTCCGTTATTTGAATGTTTGAATTCTTTCTGGATATTTATGATTTCTTAAATGTTTGAAGTATTTTAATCGTTGAAATATTTTTCAATATTGATATCTTGGATCGGTTCTCCTGTTCCGGACTATTGGATACCCTGTTCCATATGCACACAGGAGGAATAAATCGCTGCTGTCTTTTGAGGAGAGTTTTTTTCATTGAAAGATACAATCTAAACAACAGCCCTGAAATAGTTTCTGTGAGATCTAGAATCTCTAAGGTCTTTCGGGATTTCGTAAATGCAAAATAGGTAGATATCCTGATATCTGGAACTTTCCACTCAAGATGTTGACCCTTAAAATCCCTCAAGTTTTTCTCATATGATTGAAACCTCATTTCCTTCAATGCCCATCTCGAATATTCTTAAGCCCAGTTTCTTCAAACCGCTAGTCTACTTGACATTATTCCAACAGAACTCATCTCTATCCCACATATGCGGCTCAACTTTAAACTCCAAGTTTCCGATTTTTCCTGCACCATCTCACGTGCCTCACGATTGAAATGAAGGATTTTCGGAATGAAATTGCTAGTATGGAAAAGGGGGGGGCAACAAAACCAAGCCTTTAAAGGTGGACAACTGCTAATTCTGTGATCCTGTTGTGGTTCAAGGTATAGATTTCGCGGAGCGGGTATACATAAATGCAAAATCTTGACACGGAGATCTTGTTAGAAGTTTTGGGAAATATGAGAAGTTTGTGAGATTTTCCAAGGAAGGATGTGATGCCTGCGGTTTATTCCCCACGGTCAATATATGTAGATAATTTAACAGAGTATAAGGATGAAAGATGAGTACATGGAAACGAAGCAATCGAGATGCGTCATAGAATAGCCGGAGTCGGAGTAGGAGGGGGACAATGAATGGATTGAGGATTGATTTCGTAAGTAAGGTTAAAGAACTAGATAAGGAAAAGTCGCGATTTACATAGAAGATATCATCGAATGACGCGTGTCAGACTAGGCACCACGGCACAGCTTCATGTACAAAATAAAGATAAGCTCACTTAACTCCTCATTGCTCTTTAGTGATATTAAGGCGGCAAAACTAGCAGTTAATTATACCTCATGGACAAGAAAAAGATGTGGCGGGGCAATTGCCAATGCGGGGTTGCGCCCAAATAGTGATATCGGTATTAACTTTTGTATCGTAGAAAGGTTTTCAACAAGCCGCTACAATAATGACGTTCAGTGGAAAAAGGTTCCGAGTGCTTCAAAGCCCGCAAAAGCTTGTTGCTATATCCTCAACAAGAAATGCATAAATTAACCGTTGCAAAGACCTTCCAGCCGCATGCTATTTCAGGCTGTCTGCCACCCATGCACTTGCAATAAAACTGCATCATTTGAAATATTGTTCCTTTACTTGATCCCGATTTCCTAAACAAGACTTAAACGAAGAATTTTGGCTGTGAAAGTGAACCTCTTTAACAGAAGGTTAAAAAGTTAGGAAAGTGATTCATTTTGGGGAGTTTCACCCCCTTCATCCATTCGCTTAAGGTTACGCACAGTTTGCAAAAATTCTTCACTATTTGATCCACTCCCCCCCACTACACACTTGCATCTTTGAATTCCCAAAACAACAGCAGACGAACAAGCAATAATATGGTTTACCTGTGTGCAAAAGCATCCCTAAGAACGATTCAGAGGAAGCAAAAGAAGGCAAAAAGAACATTCGTTGACCAGACTGGGGCACGATCCCAGGACCTTGTCCGTATTTAACAGGTGTTAATTGTTAAGGACACGTGATAACCAACTACACCATCCGGCCGTTTGTAATGTTTGATGGAAGATGTTGTGCATTTTGAAGATATAGTGAAAATCTAAGATGTTGTTGAGATGATGTGTTGAGGTGGAGATGTATACAGGGAAGTAGCAAGGGGTGAAGTGGGGATTGAAAAAAACCCTATTTCCATACGAGAACGTCAGGTCTAGCTAGCATCCTCTCCATAATTAAACATCGCAGATAAAGTTCCATTTTAATATCGGAAAAAGACCAAGAGGTCCAAATATTGAAACGGTTAATATTATTAAAAGGTATTGTCGCGATACTAGTGAATCGTACATGCGGCCTTAGACCGCATGGTAGATTTACTAGGGCGCCCGGCCGCGTGCGGCCTATCCGCCCGCTCAGCAGGCAAATAAGCCCTACGTAGATCAACCTTCAATTGAGATACAATTCATACCTTTTTATTTTGATATACTGTATTGATCAATACAATACCCCCGAGGTCACGCGAGGTGATTCCAACAGGTATAGATTATGTTAAACTGAAGGTATAAATATCCTAGTATTATTGTGACTGAGGAGCTCAGTTCTATGGAGTTCAGAGATTCTATATAGGGAACTGTGATGACTTTCAATGCTAAGCTAACCCGTGGAAATAGAGCATTTATAACAACAGATTATAATCATTCGCAGTCATACAAATTTCCGGCCCTCTCAAGTTTCACCTGGCCAGATCTCATCCGCAATACTTCTGACCAACAAAAGCTTATTCTTCATATCCTCCCATCTTAACAAATTACCCTCCTCATGGCTAGCAAATCCACACTGAGGGCTTACACCCAATCGCTTTAATGCTTCCTCTCTAGTTTGTCCTGCACCTTTTGCTACAATATCAGCAGCTTCCATAACTCTTGCCTTCATCTTCTCTTTGTCTTCGAGTTCTGGAAATTTCGAAGTAATGACTCCAAGAATAACGTTCTTGTGAGGTGGGAGGTAGAGCAATGGCCCAAAGCCACCGGCACGGGGTGTGTCGTATTCGAGATAGTAGGTTGCTACGTTAAGGTTGCGGAAGAGTTTGGTTGCAATGCGATCATATCCTCCTTCCGAGAAGTGGCGTGATCCCATGAAGTTACCTCTGCAAATGTGTAGACCGAAGTGCATCTTGGAGGTATGTTTCTCGATGCTATCATTATAGCACTTGATATAAGCATCAAGCAACTCTTCAGCAGTTTTAGTGTTGGATTTATCTTCCTCCCAACCTTTCAACATTTTCTCAGAGCAGAAGTCTTTCAATCGTTAGCTTTTACCGAAACGTGAGTCGTATCAGAGTAATTACACGCAAAATTTGGGTCATCGAATTGCACATTTCTGAGCCCGGCATCGTACAAGATATCCAATTCTGCACTAACAGATTTCGAGATATCTGAAAAGTATTCCTCGTCATTCGCATACACTTCTTTGGGGAAAGCCTTTCCATCCTTATATCTAAGATGATACCACGGTGGGGCAATCATTGTCAACTTGATGTCGCCCCATCTCTCTTCCGGTAGAAGAGATTTTAGATATTGATATTGGCCAATGAGTGTCGACTTTCCAGTATGCATTATTTTGCCGGTGCAAAGGCAAGATTGCCCTGGCTTGTGGCCTTTCTCAATGAATCCGGCGATATCAGGAACGTAGGGACGGAAGATATCCATCGAAGGATTGCGAATTTCGGTCATTCCATCGAGCTCTTCGAAGAAGGTTCCCCAGAATACAGCACGTCTACCACCGGTTTCCGTTAGCATATATGCCACAGTTAACCGTTGAATGAATCTGTGCGGGAAAACAAACCGATATTCCCCATCACTGACAGCTCCGAACCTGCACTCATTTTGCAACTCTACAGCCTTGTTAATAGAATCATTCTCTATCTGAGTCAGTTCTTCCTGGGTCAAATTATTCTTCTCAAAAGCGCTGCGTTTAGTGAGAAGTTCCGTAGGGCGGAGTAGGGAACCTAAATGTTCAGCGCGGAAAGGAGGGTTACGATGAATGTTCGTCATTTTTTCTGTACTTTGGACCAGGGAAAAAGTATCAAACGGGCAGAAGATGCCTCGGGGCATCTTCAATGGTGGAAAGAACGATACATATACTTCATTTGCCCCGCCGAACCCCGCACTAGCCGCTATCACATCCGCAATACCTACATGGATGCTATTACATGGGCAGTTTTGATATAAAATCTGATTGGGCAAGATGTATGATGATATCTATTACGCTGATCCTATCTTGAACAGGCAATTGTTTGATGGTTGAGGGTTTCTGGATTGAGAAGAGGTTGGTGCTTTGGACGTTGTTGCATATGGTTCGGAAATAGTAGCTACAAGCTTAGGTTTCCTTAGATTGTAATTTGTAAAGCCCCAGCGGAGATAGGAGCGGATAAGCATTTGCCGAAGAAAGGCCCCAAGAAATATTTATTCCCCATATCTTCGCAAACCCTTGATTCAGAACACAACTAGGTATCTTATAGAAATTATCCCATTCTATTTAATCCTACTATATCCTGCCCTACCCTAACCTATCTGATATTATCCGATTCTACTCTACCCTACCTTATCTCCATCTTTAATATAAGCCACCATTCAATTGTCGAACTTAGAGCCAGACATTCAAGAGTGTCATGAGGCATCTAAGTGTCAAAGGTCATGGTGCCCAGGTGTGATCAACGTGACAATCCAGGTATTTTGCGTGATGCACTGGTTACCTATCTTTATCTATCTTATTAAGGTCGGCGTGAGAAATTGAACCCCGCATGAATCATCCCGGATATGTAGGTATCAAATGCGATCAAACAGACTAACGTACCGCCAAAACGGCTCATACAGTATGCATCTCGCAGTTGCTCATTCTGATCACTGATTCGCTCCTCGAATCCAGGATGATACAGGATTGTGTATACCGCGCGCGACAAACGGATTCAAATGAACGATTTGGGCGATACGAACGACCTTATCTCAAATTGAGGAAGAATCTGGATTCATAGCTATAGTGGGGTAGGTTGGATGCAGCTACTGCATCGTTTCTTGCCTGGCATTCTCACCGCCAATTTGGAATCTTAACATTGCTTTTGCATGTGCTTATTACTTCTCCAGGCTTTAGTACTCTCTCTCTTCCTTCGTTCTTATATGTTCATTTAGCAAGCAATGAGCATTTAAACAACTCCTTGGGGTCTAGGCTCAGCATGGTATTTCTGCCTGCTGGCTTGCGGGTTGGGGCCTTTAGTGGCGGCCGGGAGCTCGTGGTTGGGTTGATCCTAGATACACTTCAATTTTCACTAATTGCTTAATTGCTCATCTATTTTGCCACACATCTGACTGCATTCTTCTTCGATAATTTACTATCGCACTTATGCGAGATAGCAACTGCTACCCCTGGAAGCGCGTATTTCTTTTGTCCAAATTCGCGCATTTTCATTTTGTCAATACTTGGAGATTATAAGATTTCTCTTATCACATAACTTTTCTCAAATGTGTTTGCATCATTTTTATCGCAAACCCTCGACCCAAACTCAGTAGAGATGCAAGTCAAGAGCATCGTTGCAGAAGTCATTGGACTTTCTGCTATCGGATTCTTTACCCTGCCGTCGATCGTGACAATCTTGCGAACTCCTTATCGACGAAAGGGAGCCCCAAGCTGGGGTGACAATAAAGATGGAATCACAACTGCCACCAGTGAAAATAATTTTAATGCAAAGATTCCAAAGATATGCTTGTGTATATTTCTTATCTTAGGTGTTTTTACATTTGTTTTGAGGACTCTCCAACTTCGCAGCACCGATTATTCCCTTGAGCAGGTAGCAACTAATAGTGTAGGATGGGTGAGTTTTGGACCTACAATCCTCCACGACCGTGATGCTAATCATGGCAGTTCTTATTGACGATACAAGTGTTTTCAGTATGCTATACGAGAGACACCATTGTAAGCTACACCCAAGGTACGTATACTGCAGCTTCCTGCTTTGCTTTCCTTTGCATGGCCATTGTCGAGGACGAAGAAACTCTGAGAAGTTCCTGGTCCATTTCCACTGTGCTATCCATTGCCCAGATGGCCACCCTACTTGTTGTTGGAACCGCAAGTATATCAATTCCACGACGACCTCAAGTTTTCTATCATGGGAGACTTGTTCTAAACGAATTCAACGTTTCCTTCCTCAATCGATTTACGTTTTCGTCAGTGCAGTATTTACTCAGAATGGCGAAGCGGCACAACGATTTAGACATGGAAGAACTTCCTACAATGAACTATTCAAAAAGATCAAAGACGCTTAGTCAAGCATGGACAGCCAAGAATAGCACTGGGAGATTGTGGGTGAGGTTATTGAAAGTGTACACATGGCCCCTCGTTCTCCAAATAAGTCTAGGATTGATCCATGCCTTTCTTGCTATTGGACCCCAACTAGCGATATTTAAAATACTCAATGCAATGGAATTGGGGCAAACTGGAAGAGAGCTAGGCCTTTACATTTTGGCTTTTGGGTTGGCCACCGTTGTAGCTTCTTGGGTTGAAGGTATGTGCCTACTGAAGCCTGTTGCTATTTCCATTGATCTAATATCACACAACAGCCATGCAAGATATTACAAGCACGAGCCTCGTATCAGTTCCAATGAGAGCTCAACTATCAGCATTGATATTCCAGAAAACCATGCGTCGCAAAGATGCAAAAGGTAGTTCCGCGACTTCGGAAGATAAAGATGGCATTTCTTCTGATGATATAGACCCCGACAAAACATCACAAAAAATTCTTAATCTAATTGGGGTAGACACTGGAAGAATTTGTGATTGTGCCAGGCAAACATTCGAGATCGTTCAAGCCCCTGGACGGATCATCATATCTGTTGCTTTTTTGACCACATTGCTGAGCTGGCAGGGAATTCTGCTTGGCTTCTGGTGCGTGACCTGATCTCCGGTTCTCTTTATATTTATCAAAAGAATTGAAACTAATTTACCAGTTTTGTCTTTCTAACTTTCCCCCTCACCCGTCGCTACTCGAAGAAATTTACGGC